TTAAAATATGGGCCTTTATTAATCAGTAGAAGGATAGAAATCCAGTACTGACAACTCTAAAATGGCATAACAATTTAAAACTGTGTAACAAATGTGATTTTGAAATATGGAAGATATGAAACCCTGAAAAAATGGGAGTAATATTGAGAGGTATTATACCAGTGCTACCAACCCCAAACACTCAAAAATCATGAGTCAAGCCTTAAAAAATTGAGATTGTCTTAATTATGAGATTTTATTTTTAAGATTTGAGATTTTATTTGTCCTCTGGAGTCTGAGCCTTTAGATTACATTCATGTCACATTTTCAAGCTCTCCTTTTCAACCATGAAGGCTAGAAACTTACTTTAAAAAAAAACAAACCTAAGATTCTCATTATTATTTATATTATGGTAGCCCCAGTCAGGGACTAGGAAACCATTATGTACAAACACAGAACAAAAAAGAGGATCCCTGTCTTTAGGAGTTGATGTTTAAGAAAAGCACCAAATATCATGAGATTCAGGATAAAAACCGTAAGTTGCAACATTGTGTAACAGAAGTAAGATTTCAATAGTGTTGATGTAACTACATTTCTTAAACTAGCTGCAGTTCCTTTGTGAGGCTGACTTTCACACCACCTGTGGCACCGAAGCCTTTTGGAGTTGTGTTACTGCCTTTAGTTGAAGCAGAATCTGCCCGTTCCATGCAGGGTCGGCTTTGTGGGTGGTACCTCAGACTTTTGCAATATATATTTAATTTTTTTAATTGCCTGTCTGAACCAGAGCTGGGCAACTCCATTTTCTCATTCCTTTTGTTTTTCCAGACATAATGAGTGACATCTGTGCACAGCCATCATAGCCACTACAGAACTGGCATTCTCTTGCAATTTACCCTGGGGAAATATGTCCAGAACTTCCCCCTTCCCTCCCCTGAAATTCCCCCCAAAAAACCTCTCCAGTGAGCAACCTGGTCTCTCCAACACAATAGAATTGCAGTTCTGTGATGTCTGTGAACTAGGGTGCCCATATTTTCCTATGCTGAATACAGGACACCTGATAAAAATTACGTTTTCAAGTGAGTTCAATGGCAATCAATCAGAACTATGCAGTACGAACGTTCAAATTAACATCAAGTTGACTAAGCCTCTGTTAAAAAGAAATACTGCATAGCAGGATTCTTTTTATTTACCTTCTTATCTTTAAGACTTTAGGGTTCACACCAGGAGGGTTGACACACACACTGGGCGTGAGGGAAGGGATGGGAGCTGCTTCCAGCCGCAGGGGGAGGGATGACCAAGCTGTTTTTTGCAGGCCTATTTGAGTCCACGTCCCACCCGAGGTAAGCAGCTTGCTCTTTCCTGCCTCCAGTGTCAACACTTCTAGGCTATTGCTGGCTGCTGACATAACCCCGCTTCCAGGGCCGGCTCGAGGCACCAGCGTTCCAAGCTGGCGCTTGGGGCGGCAGTTAGAAAGGGGCGGCAGAGTTTCTGCCGTGGCGGCAATTCGGCGGCAGCTCCTCTGTCCCGCCGGCCGCAGCTTCTCCCTTTTGCCGTCTGCGGTGGCAGTTTTTTTCACTGCTTGGGGCAGCAAAAACTGTAGAGCCGGCCCTGCCAGCTGCCTTCTGTCCTGTCCCCCCGCCCACTAAAGTGTGGGCAGGAAGGGGTTAAGCCCTAAGGATGTGTTGTGCACCAGGGCTCAGGGAACCTGAGGGCAGGGGCTTCAACAGCAGCCTGGTCAAAGAGGTGGCTCAGCAGGGGAGGGTGCCTAGGGGACAGAGCAGCCCTGTGTTCCCTGGGGGGCGGGACCCAGGGTGGAGGGTGAAGATGGTGCTAAGCCTATGTCCCGGGGGCTGCTGTGGAGCCTGCACATTCAGGGCATGCACAGGCAGGAAATCGCTTCCTCCTCCCCCACCAGTGCAGGGCTTTGGCACATGCAGGTCTCAGCTCCTCCTGGCCAGCACCCTGAGCTGGAGAGTCTTGGGCTTTCCCAGGGTGCCTGCCCAACCAGAGGCAGTGGGGGAAGGAAGAAGCTTGCTAGCCAGGCCGCTGGTGAGCTGAGTGCCCCAACTGGGGGCTGGTTCTCCACACAGTTCTGGGAGTGGGACACACCCTGTTGGGGGGGATATGGAGGCACAATGGGGCGGGAGGGGTAAAGGGGCAAAGCTGGGAGAGGACAGTGAGAGGGGAGCGGCCAGCCCTGGGAGCACGTAAAGGGCTGATGGGTAAGCAACAGATGCGACGCATGGTGTGTGTGACCTGCTCACACACACCAGCCACTGCAGATTGCAGCGCACAGCCAGTGCTGGCCGGAAATCAGATGGGGGGGCCCTGCTGGCTGAAAGCAGGCATGCAGCAGGGGCTGCACTGATGGACTAGCAGTAGGAGCGGCCAGCCCTGCATGCTGCATCTTTGCCCTGCCACCGGCCTTGAACATCCACCCCCCATTGTCAGCCACTGGACCCCACTACTCACCGCTGTGGGGAGGGCAGCTGGCGAGCAGGGATCTGGCCAGCAGCAGGACCCACCAATAGTGCTGACAATAAGATAGAAAATACGGGACAATTTACATGTTTTAAAGAAAAAGTCGGGATACCTGCAGGAGAGCTTAAATACGGGACTGTCCCTTTTAAAATAGGCCATCTGGTCACCCTGCTGTGAATGCTTTCCAGCATCATTACAGAGTGAAGCAGATGGACCAAATGGACTGTACAACTGAAGTACAATTTGTTTTTAAAACAATTTGTAAAAAAGCTAGAAAACCTATAAGGGGGCTAAACATGCTCCCACTGAACGGCAAGCCTCCCATTGACTTCTGTAGGAGCAGGATCCCGCACATGATTAGTATGCTTGTAAGCAGTTCATGTTCACATGATGTATTCCCTTTAAATATCTTGGTTGTCTGGGCACAATGGGCTGGATCCTCAGCTAGTGTGAATTGTCGTTGCTCCACTCCGCTTGCTCTACAAGAGCGCTATGGTGATTTACACCAGCCAAGGAGCTGGCCTAGTATTTTCAAAATATTAATTGCTGTTAGTGAAGTTTGAGGACTAACTGCCTGAAAAATATATTTTTCCAAATTAAGTTTCCAGTGAAGAGAGATTTTTCCCAATCTTCCCATACATCTGAAACCCAAGGAAAGCTTCCTTTTTTGCCCATCTTAGAGGCAAGAGAATGTCTGAAGCTATTGAAATAACTCTTTGAAATCCAAATTCAGGTTGACAGCCTGTGCTGTGTATTTTAGTGTGATGAGCTTTGAAAATGTTATGCCTAAACAACATGGTCTATGATAGAACACTGGGCACCTCTAAAATGCCTGTTTCACTTTAATGTTGAACAATATGTGTAAGGTTCAGAGTCTTCGGAAACACTTGTAAAAAGTAACCTCATAGTATTCTGGGAATATTAAACAAACTAGCTGTCCATTAGTGAATATTCCATACATGGTGCAAAACTGTTACATTCATCATAGTAACTTGGAATACATTTTTAAGTAGTTTAATTTTTCTACTTAGCATCCACTAAGCCAAGTGATTTAGTATCAAAAGGAGGTCTTGTACCAACCAGGTATTGCACATGTACCAACATTGTCTTCTCCATTGTGGGTCCTGTGGCATACCTTGCAATCTCAGCCATATTTGGGTTTCTTAGAAAACTTATTTTTGAGTTTAACACTACCAAGTGCTGAGTTTCCTCACCTCCAAAAGTTTTCTGCTATGTTTGCCCACAAGCTGAGATCTTCCAGGCTGGGGAAACTTAGTCAGGAAGTTTAAATTAGAACATGGACCCATTGTGCCCAGACCTATCTGTACAAGCAAGAGGTTGGGTTTTTTATTTGCACCTCTCACTGGAGTAGTTAAGCTATACTGGACCTGAACCTTAGTTAACTTTCCTTTCATGCATACTGGCTTTCCAACATAACTGTCCTCTGTCTGGAAGAGCTGAACTCTGCAGCCCCCTTCTGAAGTACAGGCAATAGATAGTATAAAAAGTTAAATAATAAGTCTGTTAAGTTTTCTTTAAGAACAGCACAATATAGAACATTGGATATCACAGAACTTGGCTGATTGCTTGTCTCAACAGAGAAAAATATTACAATAATCTGCATTATACTGCTTAGAGCTTTGAAAAGGAGCTTTCACTAGAGGGTGGAGCTTCTTACTATTATGTGTGTGGGGGGAGGGGTTGTTTGTTTACTGCAGCAAGCAACCCTGTGCTCGTTGTTTGGCTGATTTATTTTTTTTCCCCTCCAATTTGGCAGGCGGTTCTGTATCACATGGATCACATTCTTGTTTGTACTGTGACACAGAGGAAACTATTCTTTATTGACCTTGCTGTTGGCCCTAGTGACTGAAAACAACAGATAAATTTGGTGAGCTGGAAGGCTTGATCTGTCATTAGCTTTTATTTAAAAATTCGTCAAAGTCAAGAAACTCAAGAGTATGTCTACACTGCAATTAAAAACCTGCGGCTGGCCCGTGCCAGCTGAATCAGGCTTACCGGGTTCAGGCTAAGGGGCTGTTTAATTCAGACATTTTTGCTGAGGCCAGCGTTGGGACCCACCCACCCAACTCGCAGGGTCCTGGAGACCAGGCTGCAACCTGACCCCAAATGTCTATGCCACGGTTAAACAGCCCCTTAGCCCAAGCCTTGTAAGCTTGAGTCAGCTGGCACTGGACAGCCACAGGTTTTTATTTTAACTGCAGTGTAGACATACCCTCAACTGCTTTCACCTTTATTTGACTCCCAGTGAACAATCCTGATGACTTCTAATTAGAAGACAAATTCTGCCTTCAGTTACATAGGCACAGTGCCCATGAATGTCAGTGAGGATTGTGTACGAGGATCTGAGGACAGAACTTTTTTCAGGGAAAAAGATGCTATGGATTTCTAAAAATAATGATTGTTTTGTTACTCGTTTGAGGCAGGTAGTGTGCTTACAACAGAAACGTAGAAATGACTTCAGTTCCTGTGTGTGTTGCAGAAAGTTAAACATTTAATTTTTTGTTTTTATATGGTTGCAGTGGGAAGCAAATTAGACTCAGAAGAACCAATACCAAATCGTTCTGGAGTTTCGATTTTGTTTGTTTCATCAACACCACAAAATACAGAGCTCATGGACTGAGTTTCTTGTATGGTTATCTGATTTGGAAATTCTCCTAGAGTTACATGCTTGCTTTAATATGTGAAGTGTTGTACATCAAGAAGGGCCACATAAGGACCTGGTTCTGTAGTCATTCAGCACATCAGGGACAAAAATACAGCCCTGGCATAAGTGAACACTATGAAGTCAGTGGAACTGTGCCCCCTTAAAACAAGAGCTGAGTTTGGCCAAAGGCTTCATGCCCAGTCCTAAACACTCAGGCAAAAGTTTCCAGCTAGATAGAAAACTCCCACTGAAATAAATGGCAGTTCTGCCCATACAAGATCTGGGTGTAAAATGAAAGGGCAGATTCTCAGCTGCTGTAAATGGGTATAGCTCCCTTGGCTTCAGTGGAGCTATAATAATTTACACCAGCTAAGAATCTACCCCAAGGGCCCAAACTGTCAGATATGCTGTGCATCCACAACTCCAGCGGAAGTCAGCAAGAGCTAGGGTTGCTCAGCCCTAAAAACAGTCTGATGGCCTCGTGTTGTCATTTGTCTGTGCCAAGAGAGTATGACAATACATGATTAGAGCAAAATGGTAGCAGTTTAGACCCATTTTTGCATAGGTATAGGTAACTACAGAAGGTGCAAGGCAATGGGCATGCAGGCCCTGAGTAAGGGCCTCACAGTTTGCCCCACTATCCATTTCGTTTCCCTGGTGGATATGTCATCGGTGGGCCTTTTGCACCTGATTAAATGTCACATATAGAAAAGCAATGCACAGAGTTGACAAATTTAAGTCTGACAAAAATCTCATTGACTTAAATGGTGCCAGATAAGATGTATAGTCAAAACTAATACTGGTACCATTTCACCTAATGTCACCAACTTGGTGGGATACTCCACAGACTAATTCTACCTCTAATATCAGTAGGCTACGGGGTATTTAAAGATTAAGATAAACTATAACTCCAAGTTATCACAAATCTTGTAAGTAAATAGTAATGCCTTTATTTTTTGTTAAGAACAGCATTTTGAAAATAAAACATTTGCCCATGCTTTACAACCTTTTTAATTTTGTATACTTATATACAGTCATTATGGTACACATTGATTGTCTTGAAAATCCTTCAGAGGTGTACTTAAGATATCAGTATGCAACAACCAGCGGAAAAAAAAGGTACGTTATAAAACACACATTAATACATTTAATAAATATATATTATCTATCAAAAATGAGCCTTAGCTCTCCTCAGTTAATAAAAAGCACCTGCTGGGTAATCTTGTAAGCTGGTAGAATAGTCCAATTTTTTAATTATAAAAGTTACAGCGCTCCCTTTTGCACAGCCTTTAGTTAGACTCAAACATAGCCAGCCATGATTCCTGTCTGATACTAAATACAAACTAGTGAGCTCTGCAACAGTTGACATCTACCTTATTTATAGAAACAACTGTGTGCACTTAGGGCTCCATCCTATCAGGTGCTATACATCTTCTGGGAGGTGCTAAGCACCCTCAACTCCCACTGCAGTTGGGACTGGGTCTTAATGTATGGCTGTGAACTGCTTTCTAGTCATTGAATAGAAGCCACTTCTTACAGAAACGTTTTCTGTAACAAAGTTTTAAAAATGTTTTCAGATTTCATTTTTCTGTGTAGGTAAGAGGCCAGAAGAAAATAACCATTAGTAATTTTAAAAGGAACAACATAGTAGCTTTTATAGTATAAAAGCTAATTATAACAATCCTGAAAGATTTGTGTTTACAGTTACATAGTACTTTGCTCACAGATGCTCTACATTCTAAAAGGCAGAAGTAAACAACTTGTTTACATTAATAAAAATAAATTAACACAAAGGTGCCTTCAGTCACACGTTATTTGAAGCATTTGGCATTAGACTATCAAATGGCAAAAATAAGTTGCTTATTCTAGTTGTGTGAAGTTGGAAAATGAATAAACTCCTTCTTCTAATCAGTTAACACACCTCTGCCACTCCAAATTGAAGACCCAATCCTGCATGCTATTACTAATGTGAACAGTCCTAACTCACATGACCACTCAATGGGACTGAGGCTTTGTCTACACTACCAAGTTTTGTCACCAAAAACTGCCTTTGGCAACAAAACAGTGAGAGCATACACACTGCAATGAGACTTTTGTTGGAAAAAACGCCCAGTTTCGATGATAAAAAGCTTCCACCCCTACAAGAGACGTTTTTCTTTTCCCCTCCCTTTATTGTCGACAAAGAGCCAGTGTAGACACTACTGTTTGTTTTGTCGGCAGAACTGGTTTCCGCCAGTATCCCACAATGCCTGCCCTGATTGCTCTGCTCAGTGTTTTGATATCTCCTGCCTTGCAGGCATGTGCCCCTCCCCTTTCAAAGCTGCAGGAAGTGTGCTGTTCCCTATGGGGAACAAAGAGCAAATCATTGGAATACTCCTGTTCTGCCCTGCACTAGGAGCACAGCAGCAGACAGACTGCTGTCGCAGGGAGAGGGGGAGGAGAGACTGCTGCTCTGCTTTGACATGCCTCAGCATGCAGAGTTCGCTGAGGTGGCTGTGGTAATCAGCTCCACCTTCCCACAACACTACACTGTGGGATAAATACCCACAGTGCATTGCTTATGCTGTCGATGATGGTGCCCAGAACGTGGACATGATCTGTCGACAGAGGGAGCAAGTGTGAACACCCTTTGGTGATTTTTGTTTTGTCGACTTTTGGGTGTCGACATAAATTTCGTCAACAAAACTTGGTAGTGTAGACAAAGCCTAATTTAGGGTTGCCAACTCTGACTGAAGCTATTCTGGGATATTCCCCCCCCCCAACATGAGGTGATGTAATTTTCTTAAAATAGCCTATTAAAATTTCCTGGGTTGCTTTCAATAGTCACCTGGAGAGTCGTGCTGATTCCGGGAGACTCCAGGCCAATCCTCGGGGGTTGGCAACCCTAGACTGATTATGTGACCAAAGGTTTGCAGGATCTGGCCCGGTCTGTGCTTAGGGCCTCAAACTCCTACTGACTTCCTAAGGAGCAGGACTAGACCCTTAATTTGTTAATCCATTCCCATCTAGAAAACTGAACACCACGTAAACGTTTACAAAATAACTATCATGGAAAGAATTTATCCAAGGTCTATAAAATGTATATAGTACTGAATGTATACTTCTCAGCTGTAGCATGATGAATCTTTTAAAAGAAAGCTGCCCTCCCATTTATGCCATGGTCATCTTATACATTTTTACAGTAAAGACCTTTTCAGAGAATTTAACATTTTTAAAACTGATGTTTTAAAATGAAACTTTTGCAGACATACATCACTAGGTTTTATATTACTCCAAATTATCCAGTTTCTGGGATAGTAACCATTAATTATCAAAAATATTTTATCTGCTCACGACTTTAACAGCTAGAGGTACTTCTAGATTACTGGATAGCATGCAATATCCACCTCTAGCCTACTCAGTTTCTTAGACAATCTAGTTACCTAAACAAGAGACTAAAACTTTTTTTTTTTTCTTAAAAGCAAGCACATGCTTCCACTTTGCCTCTATTGGGAACATCAGATATGAATCTAACATGTTCCTTTAATCATGCATGACAAAAGTATGGTTCCTGAACCAGAAGGGCTGTTAGAAATAAAACCCTATAAGGTGATCATGGCAAGAATGACAAAATATATCTTGTGTGTAATGCTTAGGGCCTGATCCTGCAGCCCTTACACCAGTGATTAGACCTCTTGATGTCAATAGGGCCTACTCATGTGAGTACAAGACTACAGGATTAGGTCTGTTTAGTGTAGAAATGATGTACAAGAAGAAACAGGGAGCCTTTTAAAAAAATAAACAGCTTATCTTTCTTTTTGTGGTATGCAACAAATAGTGTCCCTCTTTGAAGCTACTGAGCTATTCAGTTTTCTTTGTATATTATAATTTTATTTTTCATTTGAAAATAGAATATATATATATATTTATTACAACATATGCAAAATTTCACCCTTATACATAACCCACACCCTCATGTAAAAACAATTGCTTTTAGTATCTAGGAAAGCTAGGAGTAATGTTGACCAAACAATGAGGATACAATGATGCTTTCAATGTTTGATATGTATTAAATGCTAAATAATAAAGGAATGATTCGCTTTAAAGTAACAAAAACCATGGCAAGAATAATGGGCAGTAAGAACTTGTTACATAGCCTAGATAAGCCTTGGTAAAAAAAACCCTTAGCCCAAAGCTACCTTATCCCAACTCCAAAACACAAAAACCCTGAACCTCTAGGAGTGGAGACTCTACTAGCTATGCATTAAAAGACACAAATACATTAAGATGTACAAACAATTGCAGTCAATGGGGCTACTCCCATGAGCAGGGGTTACAGCACCAGTTCCAACTTTAGGAAGAGAGGGTCCAATCCCACAAATTACAAAGCTCCTCCTGAAAGGTGATCAGTACCTTCCCCTCCCCTTGAGTTTTTGCTTGGCACCTTACAGGATCAGCCATCAGAACACAAACTAAGTTCTGTGTAATACAGTAGGTTTCCTTTAATCCATCATACTATGGGACTCCTTTTGGCAACCCCAAGCCACATTCTCTCCTCAGCTAAGAGTCTTTGCTGAAGCTTGGCCCTCCATAATTTGACTTAGTGCCCTCAAGAGTACATATGTAAAAAAATTTGAGGGTTTGAGAACACGTGGTTCTTTGCTTTTACTCTGGAGTAAGACTGCATCAACAGGGCATCTTGAACTGCAGTGTCTGATTCTACATTGCTGAGATGATCTGACTCTACCTTCACTCTTGTCCTACAGATGCTTCACAAAGTTGCATGAAGCATGTACAGTCATTTCCTTTCACCACAACCAAATTTGATACTCCTCCCCCACCCCCCTTAAGTGGATCATGTCTCATTGTTGACTAATGGTAATTTAGTTGCCAGAGACTGACGATGACCCTAGATGACATTCACAGCAGAGATGGATAATGAAGCAACCAAGACACTTCACGACACTTGAAGAGAAAAAAAAAATAAAGTAGGAAGAAACCCTGCATACTTTCACACTGTTGTGGCAATCTCTTATGGCAGCATGGATTAAGTTGGTATGGGAGAGTTGGGGCGGGAGAGGGGGTTGTTTTTTTGCAAACAGCTGGAAACCAACCAAAATCAGGCTTGCCTCGCACACTAGTTACAGGCAGGTTATATCTCACATTTAAGAATGCGCAGTGTCCTCTCTTCCATTTCAAAGTGTGCCTATTTCTATTTTTAATTAAATTTATCTTGAATTTTGAAGAGTTTTGTTTTTGTGATTAGCTCATCAGTTCAACAGTATTCACATTTACATAAAATCCTCTCAAGGATTCCAAAGCTCCTGGATGTCTGGCTGCTTTGTTGTGGTATTATTGATTCCTCCCTTAGAAAGACACACTGCCAGGGAATAACATTTGTAACAAAGATTCTTATCTCTAGAACCTATAGCCTTTCACCAGAGGTGTCTTCCAGTGTAACTTGGCGGAGCAGTTGGTATCTGGAAATAAGGATAATAAACCCATAACTAAGAGCTCCAGACTATTCAGAAATCAGTGTTAACATATGCTACGTTACATGTCTAGTAGTAAAAGCATTATCAGTTCTACAACAAAATGGTACAGCAAAGCATATCTTCAGTGTGTACAATACACATACCTCACCACAAGAAAAAGGGATGAATATGTATATATTAGTCTTTTGCTTTACTGTCTAAGGTAATAATCTTTTACTGACTGTGCAATTTATTCTCCAGGAACAAGTTTTGTGCCTATCCCCAGAAAAATCTCTCTAACCCTTCATCCTTAAACTGCCTCTTCCCTGAGCTGCTTATTCTGGTATAAGGGAATATAGGGATGGTTTAATGCAG